CAATGACAGATGGATCGCGGGTGTAGTACCTGCTTGGTAGGGACAAGATACGTACAGTGGTACTGGATAGAGTGGTACCTGGATAGAGAAGTACCTGGATAGAGAAGAGAGCAAAAGCTTAATAGTCAAGTATGTACCAAGATAGGTAGGGACGCAACAAGATAATTTCATCGCACCAAGAAGCTTACTATGTAGACGTCTCGCCAGTCCGTTGAGTTACCATGAGAGATCCAAACGCCACTGGGCGATGAAACCTTTTTCTTCCTTTTCATCACTCGTCGTTTCTTTTCCCTGCTCTTCCCTTCCCCCCCTTGAAGGCACCTTTTAGACAGCCCTTCTGGTGACCTGCTCTTTTGCGTCCTCCAGCTGACCATGGCTTTTTCTCGAGCCGGTCAGACCACCACCAGCCAGGCGCCTAATCAGACCACGTCTTGTTGGCCCGAAAAAGACAGCGAAAAAAGCGCTGATCGTACTCTGGCCTCAGACGTGCTAAACCAAGTTGACCATGCCAGTGGAGGCTAGCTCCACGCCTAATCGCGGCCGATGTCACCAATTGCCCCGATTGCTCGCGCGACTTTGTCAACCAACGGGAACAGCAGCGGGAGGGTCAAAAAAAAACACAGCTGCCAAGCACAGCACCCCTGGCATCTCGTGTTCCCTTACCATCCACACTTACCATCGGCACTGCCGTTGATCACATTCAGGCATTTAGGCGCCTCTGAAAGAGGGGGGACCCTATGACGAGTCAGGCTGTCATAGGAATGCTGCCCAGAGCCAATCCACGCAGTCAGAGCGAACAGGGCAGCGAGAATCAAGCAATTCTCGTGTTGTACCAAGCAACAGGCACAGACTGGTCAGTGGCCAGGTCATGGAAAATCCCATCCCACGCGTCTGTGTGCCGTGCCGGCCGTTCATGGTCTGTCACCCATGAACATTGCCCCCCCTTGCCCCCACCCCTTCTCCCCTCCCCCCTTGTCTCTCATGTCTCTCTTTGGCCTACCTATTCGTACAGTTCGTCTGGGCCGCTTGCAGACTTCAAAACCCGCACCGAACTACATAGTACATGTACTGACGACCCGCTCCTGAACCCCCCTTGCGCATATGCCACCCCCACTGCCGTCCCATCGTGTTATTTTTTCTGGAAGGAAGCTCGGATTGTCGGCCTGCTGCGCTTCGGGTCTTGGCCATTGTCATCGGGTATCTCCCTGGGTAGGGGGTCAAGTGGTTAGGTCCGGGCTCCGAAACAAGGCACTTGTTGACTCGAGGGAGATGAGCGAGTTGGGACTAAATGACTGAGACCTGAAAAGCTGAAGCACGGCGGAGCAGAGCAGATCCGTTCAGAGCGAGCCAGATGTGTACTGTAGTAGGTAGGCACAGCAAAGAATCTAAGCTTCTTTGCAGCCGCCAGACCTTCCTGTCCAGTCCCGTGTCTGCGCCCGCCTGCTCCAAAGTCATTGACACTCGCGCTCTCTCTCTTTTCCTCACCGGACCCAGACACCCTCCACACACACACGCACACCTTTCTTATTTTTGTTCCCCTGAGGTCCGTCCCATTCATTCGCTGAGACTTGTTGACGTCGTCCGTCTGGAGGTCACCAAGGGACTTGCACGAAACCGGGCCTTCCCCAGCTGTCGTCCGTCGAGTGCGCTTCCTCGCCAAATCCCATGAGAGCTTAGGGCGCTTGACGTTTTTCCCCCTTTCACTCGTACATTTTCGATCCGCTGTCTCTCGTTCAGTCAGGACCGAAAACTCAAGCCCCCTCCCCCACCATCCGTCGCTCGTTGCACAATCACCACAGTCCGCCATGGGTCTCAACTTTCGCTTTCTCGTCAACGTAGGCCTCCTCGGCCTGCCCATTGCTGTCACGCTCGGCATCCTCTTCGGCCTCGATCAGCATCGTTCGGCTACTGGCCAGCCTCCTCTCTGGTCACCCCCGGGACCTCCGATCAACAATGGCATCACGGAAGAAACATACTGCCAGCGGGCGTTTGGTATCCATCCCGAGTCCAAGGGCCAGGAGTACACACGTGAGTTTTTTCTTTGTTCTTCCCTCCCTCGAGGCGAGGTGCTCGCCGCTCAACGAGTGCGACGCTGCTGACACGCACCACCAGTGAACCCCAACCAGTGGGGATGGGAAGAGGGCGAACCGGGCAGCCTCTGCATGAACGTCACGTCCTTCAACAACCAGACGTACGCCACCAAGACGACGGCCCCCGAGTTCTCCGTCACGTGGGAGTACCCGCGCGGCCCCGAGTCGGCGCCCGTCCACGCGTTCCCCAACATCAAGGTCGAGGGCGACGTGTTCCCGGCGACGCTCAGCAGCCTGACCGAGGTCAACGTCGACGTCGAGTGGACCTACGGCCTCGGCAACGACACGGTCGACAAGACGGACGTGACGGCCCTCGAGGCCAAGGAGGTCAACACCAACGTCGCCATCGATATGTTCCTCGACAGCGACAAGACGACGGCCAAGGACAGCACAAAGGCCGCCTTTGAAGTCATGGTGTGGCTCGGCGCCATCGGGCCCGCTACCCAGCCCATCGGCCTGCCCGAGGGGTCCGTCGCCACCGACTCGATCAACGGCACCGACTTGTGAGCTTGCCTCCCCTCTGCCCATGGCCTCTGCCCATGGCCTCTGCCCATGGTTTCCCCCCCGGGAAGATGAAAAGTGTGCTAACCGAAGCGTCAGTAACCTCTACGTCGGCCAGAACAGCTTGAAACAGCACGTCCTGACCTGGGTCGCCAAGAACACGACGGAAAAGTTCCACGGCGACCTGATGCCGCTCGTCACCAAGCTCATGGGCATGAGGGGCGCCAACTTTCCCAAGACGACGGATTACCTCGGCTACATGGGTCTCGGTTCCGAAGCCCTGTCGACGAGCGAGCCCGTGACGTTCTGGGTGCCTGAGCTGTCGATTGACATCCGGACCACCCCATAGAGCGCCGAGCTGGCGACGGACGGGTGGACGAAGTTTGGATAGAGGTTGGGATATGGGATAGAATAGAATGACAAGCCTTGCAGCGCTGTAATGTTAATGACGACTCTTTGAAAAATCTGAACACGAATCGAGTGGTGCTCGCTGGTGACGATTCATTCGGACGACAGCGCGAGAGGCTCGTCGATATCGCATTTCAAGTATGTTTTCACAACAATAGGGTCGAAAGGCCAAAGTCTCAAAAGTGATTCCCGCGGACAGCAACAGCAAACCTCGACGTTAGATGGACGTTGCAAGAAGCTCGCGGCCCCCCCAAGCTTTGACGTCGTTCAGGATCCTTCAGGACCTTCGGAGCCATTGCCTCCGTCAGCCCAGAACGCACAAGAAGAATCCTTCTCCCCCGCGAACCGGGCCCTCTAAATCCCTGCGCGTGCATCTGGCCCCCCAGGGCTGCATCCTGCCGACCGGGACATTTTTTTTTTTCCTCGCTGCCAACGAGATGCGAGCTTGGCGTTCCCGCGTCCCGGTACGTCAAGGAGAATAAAAACGCCTTCCGTGTAGCGTGGGGGAACACCAAGATGGGATCTCCCCAGGGCCAAGGGGAGGAAAACAGTCGACAGCACCCCCCCCCCCCCCCCCCCCCCTGTGGGGGGGGGGGCGCGCCAAAAATTCCCGCGCGTTTTTCAAAAAGCGACGCGGAGGATTCGTAAAGCGGGTGCAGGGCAAAAAAGCCGCTGTTTTTGAGAAGGGCACCTAACCTTCGGTAGGTGGGAGAGGGGGGGGGTCTTGTTTGAAAATAAGAGGGGCGCATAAGAAAAGACCGGGATCGGGGGGAGATATAGTTCGGAGAACACTTTGCTCGGG